TAGATTACATTTTCCTCTTTGGTGAAGCAGTGTATACGATTAATAAACAAGTGTGTGTGTTGTGTTTTTCTTCAGAACCGTCCTAGCTGTTGCTGGTGAAGACTTCGCCATCGTAGCCTCAGACACCAGGCTGAGTGAAGGATACTCAATCCACAGCCGCGACTCGCCAAAATGCTACAAGCTGTAAGTTTGCACTGTCACTCATTCTGCACGTATTTACCCTTTATCCTGCAAACTGTCAGTAAATGAAAGATGGGCAGTTATAAGACACAATCTCAAATTTGAAGTCTATAACTGGTCCTTGTTACTTTCATAGTTATGTTCAACTTCATTAAAAGCCATTATCAGTTGAATTTGGAGTGCAACCGCTGAAGTCACTGCTGTTCTGATACATTTCAACCTTTATTTATATAGCGCCTTGCATACAAACATGCATTACAAAACACATCAAAATGAATAGCAATAAATACAATTTTCTTGGCTGAAATCTCTTTTCACTTCAACATAACTAAGTGCTCTGACTGTCACTCATTTTTCTGCTTCTCTTTCCACTTACAGGACAGACACCACCGTTATTGGCTGCAGTGGTTTCCATGGTGACTGCCTGACCCTGACTAAAATCATTGATGCCAGACTAAAGGTGGGCTGGTTTAGCAAGGTTTTTGGTTTCACACTCTCTTTAATCTCCGTCCTAAAATGACCACAATCAGCTGACTCTGCAACGGTTTTTTTCTGACAGACCTGCAACAATGTGATGTCCATGTATTAACTATGTTCTAACTTGAAGTAATGTCCCTGCCCACTCTCTCAGATGTACAAACACTCAAACAACAAGACGATGACCAGCAACGCCATCGCAGCCATGTTGTCCACCATTCTGTACGGCAGGAGGTTCTTCCCCTACTACGTCTACAACATCATCGGAGGACTGGATGAGCATGGTAGGGACTTTAAAGCTGTAAATATTGAGATGAGAAAATGTATTGCTTTTGTATGCATACGCACTCGATTGTGTAAGTAGTATTAACTAGTTCTATTTGAAATATTTCCTGTTTTGTAATGAAGGCAAGGGAGCAGTGTACAGTTTTGATCCAGTGGGCTCCTACCAGAGAGACACCTACAAGGCCGGAGGATCAGCGAGTGCCATGCTTCAGCCACTTTTGGACAACCAGGTAAAGAATATTGACAATGCAGTACTCCAGCCAAGTTTCCATAAAGTACTCAATGTAAATTAATGTATGTTTATTTTCTCATCACAGATTGGTTTCAAGAACATGGAGGGTGTGCAGCACGTCCCTCTGACTCAGGAAAGGGCAGTTCAGCTGGTCAAAGATGTCTTCATCTCGGCCGCAGAGAGAGATGTCTACACTGGAGATGCCCTTCGACTCTGCATCATCACTAAGGAGGGCATCAACGAGCAGACTGTACCCCTGAGGAAGGATTGAGGAGGGACGTGTTCTCCTTTCTCTGCTTTGCTCTTCGATCTGCTCTTTCCACATTTCCCTGTTGTTTTGGCTCTTTACAAATTTCTTAATAAAAGGAGTGTTGTTCCAGAATCTGCTTCTTTTGGTGTCTTAGGTCAGGCTTAATCTGGGAAAGCAGATTTCCATTTTTTATATCCATTAACAATCTATATCAGTTGAAAATGACACTTTTCTCCTGCTTTACAGTTTTCCCCTTCAATTTCTGCTATGATACATCATTTGTATTGTTTTGGTTAAACATTCTTATTCTAGATCAATACTCCTGTTTATGAGAAGCAAGACACTCTCTTCACTCGATCGCCCCTAGACACTTCCTAATGTTTTAGTTTTTCATTATGTTTTGGAAGGATACATACTCTGCTGTTCTTTTTACATTCTTAATAAATGTAAAGAATTGAAAAAGGATGTCTTGTCTTTCTTTGCATGGTCTTCACACATGAACACTCCATCTCAGGTTAATGTTGTCCTTAAATAATAAAGTAATAGTATTACTACTCGATCCTGAAACATCTTCATCACAATAGCATCTTTTATACAGAAAGATGCTCACACTGAGATGTTCTAGTATGATAAATGTATCCATAAGGTGGACAGTTTAATTTTACAATTTTGCGACTGATAAGACTACTTTCTTTCAGTGGAACCCTCATGTCAAGCTTTTCAAGGCTCTTGATCAAATTTAGTACAGGATCTGAAGTGTTATGCAAGTTCATAAATATCTCTCAAACCTCAGATGATTTTTGGTATTTCAACAAACATTTGTTTAAAATATGTTTCATTCTGAAGGGAAATTAAATATGATCAATTATGTATACACAACTTAAGGGGGTTGATTAAAAGAGTTGAATACTGCCAGGCTTAGGACCCTGACAAAATGTCTGAGATGAAGGATGGTCTACTTTTTCTGTTAGGTCATTTATTACAATGCATCATATTCTATAAGATCATGTTTGTATCGTTACAGTCCTGTGAGAATCACATATCTCAAAAGTATATTTTCCATGAGCTTAGAAAGACAGTCCTGTTTTTAACTTTGTGGAGTAGAATTATAAAGTTGTTTTGGAAAGTACATTTAATTTTGTACTTACATACAGTACCTGTTATTGGTTACATAACAATAACTTTAGGTGGTGGAAATAATACTGGAAACAAAACTAGTAGTGTATTAGTATGAGGGAAAATATTCATCACCTTGTGAAGTCTAAATGGTTTTCCAAACTAATTAAAATTCAATGTATTGTGTCACATTTTGATATAAATGGTTATGTTTTCAAGATTCAAAGGTTTATTTTCATAACATACAATATATACAACTATGGTGTAGTTATGTAATGAATGAAAAACATACAGTAGGTTTATATTTCTGTGTAACTGTTCAAATGTGTATACAGTGACCATTAGTAAGTTGTCTTGTTTTACATTTCCCTGCAGTACACTAAGGCTGCCTCTGCTCATGAGTGACTAATAAACAAACATTTATCCAAACAACTTTGTGGTGCGTCTAATGTTGGTTGATTTTCTGGCACTATTTTAATATGCTTAATGTTTTTTCTCAATAAAACCAAAGTTTTAAAAACCTATGTTTAACTGAACACTGGGCTCCAGCCCAATAAAACTTTAAGAAGAATAACGATTTTATTATATTATTCTGCGCCACCTGGAAGTGTGAAAATACTATCCGTCTTATCAGGGCTCAGCAAGAAGAAACACAACACTTATGGACATTTTATTTATTTGTATTAACCCAAGTTAAATCAGCAACTGTAACAAGTGTTTACCCAACAACTGTTTTAATAATCAAAGACCCTCTCACACAAAAACAGACACAGACAGTGTCCTCAGGCGTAGTACTGCAGGTTGGCCTTCTTCTTGGCTTGGACCTCCAGGATTCCCTCCATGTAGTCCTCGTGGTTCAGCTCTGTGGCCCCGCGGCGCAGCGCGATCATGCCGGCCTCCACACATACCGCTTTGGCCTGGGCTCCGTTGAAGTCGTCGGTGCAGCGAGCCAGCTCCTCGTAGTTGACGTCGGGGCTGACGTTCATCTTGCGTGAATGAATCTGCATGATGCGAGCTCTGGCCTCTTCGTTTGGCATGGGGAACTCGATCTTTCTGTCCAGACGTCCTGAACGGAGCAGCGCAGGGTCCAAGATGTCCACTCTGTTGGTGGCAGCAATAACCTAGAAGAAAAAAAATGTTATGTAGTTAAACTGTAAAGTAATAACAAGGTGGCAATTAAAAATAAAGGAAACTTGGTGCTTAACTTTGTCAAGTAGAATAAACTTAGGCTGTTTTAGGATTTCATAACACTTTTTGGATGTGTGGTTTGTGAAAACATGTATTGTATCCATATTTTAATGGTTAGCATTGTGTTCATTCTCATTTAACTACAGAGTTCCCATTTCTCCTAGAATGATACTGTAAATGAATTGTAACTTCTTTAATACTAGAGAATGTCAATTTAAATACTGTTTCTACACATACAATGTTAATTACAGGTGTTTTCTTGGCCGCATATTTACCTTGACCTGCATGTTGGGCTGGAATCCATCCAGCTGGTTGAGCAGCTCCAGCATGGTCCTCTGCACCTCTCGGTCTCCGGCCTTCTCGCTGTCGAACCTCTTGGTACCGATGGCGTCCAGCTCATCGATGAAGATGATGGATGGGGCTTTCTCTTTAGCCAGGGCGAAGGCATCTCTCACCAGCTTGGCTCCATCTCCGATGAACATCTGGACCAGCTGTGGACCAGCCAGCTTCAGGAAAGTGGCTTTGGTCTGGGCGGCGCAGGCCCTGGCCAGTAGGGTCTTTCCGGTACCAGGTGGTCCGTACATCAGCACTCCTTTGGGTGGCTGGATGCCCAGGTTTTCAAACTTCTCCTTGTGGTTCATGGGCAGGACAATGGCCTCCACCAGCTCCTGGATCTGCTTGTCCAGCCCTCCTATGTCGCTGTACTGCTCTGTGGGGCGCTCGTCCACCTCCATGGCCTTGACTCTGGAGTCATACTCGGTAGGAAGGGTCTCCAGGATCAGGTAGGAGTCCTTGTTGACACCAACCAGGTCTCCGGGCTTCAGCTTCTCCGCGTCCACCAGCCCGATCACCGGCAGGAAGTAGGTCTGTCGAGTGGAAGTTTTAATAACGGCACATTTTCCTTTCCTCTGGGAGTCCAGGTCCACATTAGCCCCGTCCTCCTCCTGGTCGTTGGGGTCCACATCCAGCAGCTCGATCACGTTAGACACAAGGTACGGCAGCGTTTTGTTCACCTTTATCTTCTCCGTGTTTTCCTTGATTTTATCCTTCATAGCCTGCAGTTCGTGGGTCACACGCAGCACCTCGCTCTTCATGATCTTTATCTCACTGTCGAGGAGACGAGTCCGCTGAACTATCTCGTCTGTGGACATTTTTAACACTTCTTCGCCGATTCCATCCTCGACTTCGTCCCAAACTGATTTGTCACTCAGCGACGCCATCTTTGCTCTGTCTGCCGTGAACTGTGACACAGCGGAAAATAAAGGTTCTACTTCCGGAAGTAGCCGACAGCACTCATGAGCGCCGAAGAAGCACTGCAGCAAGACCGAGGATGAAGCGAGCCTGAAGCTGAATTCATTCACTCCGTGCGGTGGTTTGAACTGCGAGTGTGTGCGTGTAAGTTACAGGGCAATGTACTGCGGTGCACTAGCATATGTCTAACTTATTTTCAGTTCTATTTTAGCGCACTAATTCACTGCTTTCACTCTGAGTATCATTAGCTAGTGATGCTAATACTAGCTCTGCGGCTAACTTCAGCTAGCCAGAATGTTGATGTGTTTCATTTGGAGGCTGTCAAGACACACTCATAGAAGACTTTTTTGCATATAAACATATTTGTCACCCATATTTGTCTCATTATCCACTCAAAGGGCACACAATGCATCGGGTTAAAACATGAAATAACGAGCTTAAGTGACGTTAATGTACGATAAAGCTAAATGTGATGATTAGCAAGCAGTGAGTGTCTTCGCGCCACTGCTGCAGGATGCACAAACTGTTTCATGTTATCTGCAAAATTATGCACTTTTGTTAAATAATGACCAGTTATCAGTGGTGGACGAGGTATTTAGATATGTTACTTAAATAAGATAGTACTTGAGTAATAGGTCTCGTATTTGCACCACGGTCCACACAGGACAAGTTAAACACCTGCGTTCAAAATGTTACTCACCAACATATTAGCATTTACTTGTATTAAAAGTACACATTTCTGCACAATGGCCCATTTCAGAATAGTATGTAGTATATTATCAAAAAATTATTGTACATAGCATGTGTAGCATTTGTCTGAGTAAATCTTTGATTTTACCGTTTTCCAGGCCTGACAGGCAGACAGAAGAAACAAGAAGAGGGTGTTTTTCTGAGTCCAGTCCACCGTGGTTTTTCTACTGTAAAGAAAGACTGAAGACGCACAACTTTGCACCTTCTGTCTAAAATAAATTCCTGCTCTCGGGTGGCAGTGAACTCACGTGAGGAGCTGCAGAGATGGACCAGAACAACAGTTCAGCCAGTCCCTTCCAGGGACTGGCCTCCCCTCAGGTAACACTGGTTTAAAATTGTTACTAATATTTTCTTCTCACCTGGATGATCCCCCAGTTTACCATCACCATCGTCTTATGTCCCATTTGGAAGCTTTAGCATTGAAATTACAATTTATTTATATTTAATGGCAATTTAATATAGATTTTAAAGTTTACAAGTTGCCTGAGCTCAGAGAATGCAAACGGTTGAATGCATCCTGACTCAACTATTTTCTGGTATTGCCATACTTGTAAAATATCTGAATGCAACTCGGAAATAAATAATAGTGCTCTGTTAATTCAGACCCAGAGTTGTGCTCTTGCTTTAACAGGTCACATAGCTGGCAGCCAACATTTTGAAAAACTGTTGCATTTTCAATGGTCAGTATAGTAAGTGCTACTTATGTTGCTTTTCTAACCCAACCTCATCTTTTTGGTCTTGTCCTTGTGCAGGGTGCCATGACCCCAGGCATGCCTATCTTCAGTCCCATGATGCCATATGGCTCAGGTCTGACACCTCAGCCCGTCGTGGCCAACAGTTTGTCTATACTGGAGGAACAGCAGAGGCAACAGCAGCAGCAACAGGCACAGCAGGCAAACGCAGGTAAACACACATTCTCAATCCTTTAACCATAATCTCATATCCCTAGAATTGGTGTTCTTCAGATATTTGCTGAGAATAGAAAATGCTCACCAAAGTCTGATCCAAAGTGGTGGTATGTTATTGGTTTATATTATAGAGAATAAAATATGTTCTCTGTTCTCCAGGTCTTCCTGGAACGTCAGGGCTGACCCCTCAGCTTTACCATTCCCAGACGGTTGCAGGCTCGACCACCACAGCGCTGCCAGGGAACACCCCACTCTACAACACCCCGCTGACCCCCATGACCCCCGTCACACCGGCAACACCAGCCTCAGAGAGCTCTGGAATAGTGCCACAGCTACAGTATGTTTCATATCCAATAAAATGTATGGTCAACGTTTCAGTATGTCAATGCCACTTGAAATATAATCTAGCAAATACAAAAACCTTTCACTTTTTATGTTGTGCTATTTTAGCCAGCTGTTATTGTTGAAGTTTTGTTTAAACATTGCTATAGGTAAATATATACATTTAGAATTCAAACTACATTGACATTATTTTGGACTTAACCTTGTTACAGAGCTATTGACTAAACGGTTTGCCTTTTGTCTCTTTCTCTGTTTCTTACCTTTTTTTTTTCTTCTACTTTTAGAAACATAGTATCTACTGTAAATCTGGGCTGTAAACTGGACTTGAAGACCATCGCCCTGAGAGCCAGGAATGCAGAGTACAACCCAAAGGTGAGACTGACAAACACTTCATATCTGATCAGCCCCATGCTGCTCAACAGCTCATAAAGGTCACCTGTGGGCTTTTAAGTACAATTTCTGAAATCCCTGTGAACCCAGAAAGTGGCCGACTGTAACTGCCAGAAAGGCTAACTGCATAGCGAACAAATCAGGTTCCACTTGCATGTTGTTTAATTTACTTGTGTAATTATTTGAGCAACTTTAAAATGTTTGGATCCTAATGTCTCCACTAAATGATACCAGTTTGATGTGCTTGCAGAGCCCTGGCACTTGATCTCAATTACATGCCTTTCCTGTAATGACATGTCAAATTGTCTGCTGTGAAAAAGGTCCACTATCAATGCTCACTGATCTATGTTAGGAGGCTGCAAGTGCACAGTTAGTACGACCCATAGTGTCACATTCATGGGAAATCCACCAGGGTATAGGGAGTGACTTTGATAATTCCCTGATCCTTCCTCTAGTACTGATAAACTGCCAACATGTCTGTTATACAAAAACACCATAACTCAATGGTCCAAATGTTATTAATGCTAAACATCCCACACAAATGTATCTGTGTTGAAGCGCTGCTGGTGTTTAATAATTGTCTCTCTTCATTCTCGTAGCGTTTTGCTGCGGTCATCATGAGAATACGAGAACCCAGGACCACGGCTCTCATCTTCAGCTCTGGGAAGATGGTCTGCACGGGAGCCAAGAGGTCAGAAAATGAGTTATTTGCTGACCTTTCATGTGCTGAAGTTTAAAAAAAAGACTGATTTAGAACTTAGGGATTTCTCCAATAGGGATGTTAGCCTTCCCCTGTTTTTCATTAAAGTGTTCTACCTTGATTATAACCCATCCTGTATTGACTTTCCTTTTCTCCAGTGAGGAGCAGTCGAGGTTAGCTGCCAGAAAATACGCTCGTGTGGTGCAGAAGCTCGGCTTTCCTGCTAAGTTTTTGGATTTTAAGATTCAGAACATGGTGGGAAGCTGCGATGTGAAGTTCCCCATTCGACTGGAGGGATTAGTCCTCACACATCAGCAGTTTAGCAGGTAATTTCTGATTGTTTCATTTATTTGTGCAGCTAAAACACAAGGTCCCACATGTTGGCATTCTTGTAGAGCACCAGCATATGATGGCTGCGTTGTGAGGTTTCAGTCAGGGAAATGGTTAAAAGCAAGTGATTGGTCTGTTTCAGCTACGAACCGGAGCTGTTTCCAGGACTGATTTACAGAATGATCAAACCCAGAATTGTCCTGCTCATCTTTGTTTCTGGGAAAGTTGTACTCACAGGTAAGACTTGTTCCTCTCTGCTAATGGCTTTACTTCACTTATATTAGTTTATATTTCAGTGCCAATGCAAAGATGCCTGTTCAAATCAGATGGATTAATTGTCAAAGTCAGCTTTATTGTCAAAATGTCTACATGTGTTATACATACAGAAATCTTGAAATACCGTTTCTCGCAGTCCCCCAGTGTGACATATATATATATATATACATAAAACAAGATGCAAAAATGGCCTAGATAAACGGGGTATAAGACTAAGTAATAGTAGTAATAAGTACTAGTTAATAATATATTTTAAAAAAAAAACACAATCCACAGAACATGAATTGACATTAATGCAAGTATTCTTTAGTGCAAATGAGAAAATGAATAAAGTCCAGGTCCATTTGGGGCAGGGTGTAGAGGTCAGGGGAGAGATGTCAGAGGTGGGGAGGGAGGGGAGAGAGTTCAGCATGCTGACCGCCTGGTGGAAGAAGCTGTTCCTCAGCCTGGTGGAGCTCGAGCGGAGGTTGCAGCAGGAGGAGAATTGGCCTGTGTATTTAATAACTAATGTTGATGATGCCTATAAATCATGTGCGATTCCAATTCCTTATATCATGGGACATTTGGCATTTTTTAGGGTAATACATATAATATCAATGAATGTTAAAATGTAATGTTAATACTTAGTCCATCTTATTTCATAATGTCTATGGGAATAAAGGTTGCTTCTTTCAGCCTTGTGTTTTTTTGCCGCTGTATCTTATTGTTATGAATTATATCTGTATTGTTTTGTTTTCAAGGCGCCAAAGTGAGGGGAGAGATCTACGAAGCGTTTGAAAACATCTATCCCATCCTGAAAGGCTTCCGCAAGACAACGTAGAACCGACAGCCCCTTCTCTTACCTTTTTATCTCCCCAACTCCAACTTTTTTTCATCAGACTTTTTTAAAATTCACAAGTGGACTGCTGTAACGGCTGTTGTACAGGGATGTGATTTTTTTCCCCCGGTCCTGGTGTTTCAAAGGATTGGAAAACAGGACTTCAATATATTTTTTTCTTCTGCTGAGATTTGATCACAAGTGATGTCATATTTTACTCGCAGACCTCCATATATTTGACCTTTTTGTTGTCTGGATCACATCCCTGACTGTACATAAGACTGTAAAGAAATGTAAAAAGCGCTGATTTGAAGAGAAGCAGTCTGGCTAGGACTGTTTTATTTTAAGCCATTTTAAATAGTTTTTGTATGTTGCATTTTTATAAATTGTTCACTCGGTTCCCAAAATGTATCGAGACATGTTCGGGTTTGTCTGCCCCACATTCCTCTTAACAGTATTTACTAAGGTTTCTGTCTATCTCAAGTCAATGAGATCATCTTGATATATTTTGCAAATCAATCAGTTATTGGTTTAGCTTGGTCATCATTTCTTTACGTGCTGTTATCAGAATTCCCACATGTCAACATTGGTAGAATAGCCATGTCGGTTAAGACGTATCCGAAGGCTGTGGCTCTTAATTCTTTTATTGAAATCCTCCCGCTAAAGTTGTCATCAAGTTGTTGGTTAGTTCTTTGAGATTTGTGGCACTTGGGGTCAGTAACATTTGTACTCGTAGATCAACCAGAACTTAAACGTGAAGAAGGAGGCTGTTGGTCCTAAAGTAGACGGCATCTCCTTTTTTAAAGTCTTTTATTCACATATTGCCTCTTTCATCCACAAGCACTAAAATATGATGACAGATAATCAATACATTGTGTTGCCATGTTTATGTTCTGTTTTGAAATTTGTTTGGCCATTCAAAAGTATATTTAAAAAGGTTCTTAAGATATTTTTGTGCATAGGGAATTGTGAATTTCCCTCGGTCTGTGCTGCTTGCTCAGCTGACCCGTCTGAAGCAGAAGAGGTTCGTGAATTATGCTAAACTACATTTAGTAATAATGAATCCATTCCTCTGACTCTGAGCTCAGCAGTGGCTTAGCAGGAGACCCGGAAGCCCTGTCACATCTCGATGATATTGTGTTTATAACAACATTGTTAATGTGCTGCACTGCATTAATAAATGTGTACATACCGGCTCTTGTTTTGGTGGTGCCTTTTTATTTCATCATTTGAATGTGATGTTCATTTGTCGTTTTACTGTCTAATCTTCTATTTGCCAAATCAGGTAACCCTGTCTTTTGGCACACAATGTTCTAGCTACATGACTGACAAAGCAGTATTATTAGCTGTATCTGAGCTCTCCAGGTTAAACGGATCCATCTAGTGAGCAGTGTGTGTCATTGCTTTAGGATCCAGAAGAACTTTTTCTCCCAGTCGACAATTTTTTTTCATTTAATGCTCATTAAATTAAACGAAAACATGAGGAATATAATAAGTAACAATGTTTTCTAATACACTTCAAATATGTGAATACAGATTAGCAGTACTAAGTATTTTGATAACTATTTTGATAACTATTTTCTTAGAGCTAGTATAAGGGATCATAATTTGACACTTAAAGTGTCAAAAATCATGATAAACACAATTTAAACTTGCTGTCACTTTACAAATAATTGACAGGTTTTTTTATTCAGGGACCAACACTACTCAACAGGTTTCAAATGATGTATGCCTCTGTTAAAGATAAAGCTGCAACAATTAAACTGACCCATATTTCCCATGAATCATGGGAAATATGGGTCAGTTGATCAAACACACAAAAAACATGATGTCAAACACACAAAATCTAAAGTGTTCATCCAGTCATTAAAAAAAATCACTTGGCATTTAAGTGTCGTACGAATTTTATGTGATCAACATTAAGGGAATATGTAAATGAAATCCTGTGAGCAGATTTACTTGAATATAGAAGCTGCCGGAGACTTTTGAATTCTTAAAGAAAAAGTATTTATCAGAGCAATGTATTAATTACAGGTTTAAATCAATGTGTATTGCCACCACCGATACTGAAGATTCTGCCTATGTGAATTACAAGATATTAATAGGCGGTTTGCAATCAGTCATTCTCTACCAATCTTTCCGTGAAGATGATCTTGACAAAAGCTTCTTTACTTTAGTCACAAGTTATGTTGTATTTATTTAAAGTCACATGCCGCACATTATACAGGGATGCAGTCAGTATCATCTGTGAATATCTAATTTAAGGGCACTATGTCACTTCTGTGTGTGTGTATTGTGTGCCTGTGTAACCCACTCCTCATGTCCTTGGGTTCACTTGACAGAATGAGTTAGCCCTGTCTTTATAAAGCCAGCTGCCCTTGACTAGTCAGTCTTGGAGCCAGGGTTTGAAATATGACTGTGAGAGAGACAGGTCATGACCCAGTGAAATATGGTTTGTATGTATCCCAAATCTGACCATTGATACACCCTGTGTCATGTAACTCAGTCGAAAAACTGAAATATGAGCCAGATAATCCGTATTGGGTAACGTCACCAATAATGGTAAAAATCTACACTGCATTGTTTCTTAAAGGTAGGGTAGGTAAGAATGGACAAACCAGCTCGAGTAAACTAGAATTTGAAAGTACACAATCGAAAAAAATCTGCCCCTTCCTTCAGACTTCCTTATAGAGCCCCTCCTCCAACACACACGAACGCGCACATGACCAATGAGGGCACGAGATAAATGTGTGCACGAGATGGAAGGCTGACAGGCAGGTAGGTAGGCCATCCAATTATCTTCCGCGGGCCGAGGCAGATAATTGGACTTGCTTTTTACAGCGCCACGGCTTCCACAGATGAAATATTTGTATATATTTATTGCATTTAATTTATTCATTGCTATAGGGATGTTCAGAGCATTCCATGGAATATAACAAAGTGTTTCTGAAGTGACCTACCCTACCTTTAAGCTGATTCGTTACCGAGCGGATATGAGCACCATGTGAAGCTGATTTTCCAAAAGGTGATGCTGATTTTTGAAAGATATGTTGTGAAAACAAGTCTTTATTAACAATATTAGTGTACAACATACATCAGAAAATGTTTATTCACGTAAAAAAGTATTTGGACCATCATGAGACACTTAAACTGTCAAGTGAGTTAACACTAGAACCGCCAATCGGGTCAATTTGACCCAGAGCTGTTTTTTATTGTGTGTAACTTTTTTTCAATAAAATATTAAAGTCTTCCAGTCCGTGACTTTTCCTGAAAGTGTGTTATGTAGCACCCTATGTTGTTAAAAATTGTCAATATGAAGTCAGATTGAAGAAATCGCCCAAAAAATGGCCATTTATACCTATTTCCGCCCAGCGGGTCATATTGACCATAGATATATATAAACACAGTGTTTATATATATCTATGATATTGACCCCACCCTTTTTCATATAAACATGACGTGTTGCTATAGCAACGCCTTTTGTCTACTGCGGTTCCTTATAGATTGAGAGATAGATTGAGAGAGGAGAGATAGATGGATAGATATATTGATAGATAATTATAGATAGAGAGGAGAGAGAGAGAGAGAAGAGAGAGAAGAGAGAGAGTAGAGAGAGGCGCGAGCCGAAGCGCAGGCAGAGCGAGCTCTCTCTCCTCGCTCTCTCTCTCTCTCTCTCGCTCTCTCCTCCTCTCTCTCTCTCTCTCGCTCTTCTCTCTCTTACTTCTCTGAGAGAGAGATAGAGACAGTCTGTAGTGAAGGAGTGAGCTCCCGCTCAAGGGGACGCCTGCTCGCGATGCGCGCCGCAGCAAACAGCTGTTGGCGAGTGAAAGTACGTTATGCTGGCCGCGGGTTGTCTAAATAATGCTTCCGGGCCAGCGGGCCATTTATAATGTCGAGCCTGAGAGTCCACAGATTATATTGGTATACGTTTCATCCCTGTGCGATCAAACTCACTGTTCAATAAAAGAACATTTTACTTTGAAAATCAATGCATTCTAATAGCGTGTCAATTTGACCCAGGTGGCGGTTTTAGGTATAAAAAATCTCTGGCGGTTCTTAAGCAGCAGTTATTAAGATGAAGTGAATTTATGAATTTATGAAATTCTGTTATAATGCATTTATGCTTTTTAATAAAGACATTTACAAAAATATATTTATATATATTTTTTACATTTATTAAACAATAATGACCAATACAAAATAAACGTTCATTTAAAAAAAAAAAATCTGATATAACGGTGTTCTATTAGGAGTTAGTTGATATGTCTAATATTGAATAATTCTTGATTAAGTTTGATCAAATCTGTAACGGATTTTAAAGTGTGTTTAAAAGTGATTTTAACTAATGTGAATGATGGAAAACAACAGCATCATCTGGTAAAAGTAAGGGCCTGCTGCCATCTAGTGGTTGATTCCTGAATCTCCACCAAAGATGTACCAGCAACGAAATCTGAGTAATGTAGGAGTGGAAAGGCTTGACCGGCTGTTTGTTGATCAATTAATGTCGTCGTCTTCTGTTTGCTTTAATGTTGGCTACGTAGTTGTGCAGCGCTCCCACCGCCACAACGAAGAACCCTGTTACAGTTTTTTTCAGTTGCTAACACACACAAATCTCACATAAAGCATAATTATTTAAACCCACACTCAAAGAGCAAAACCTCAGCTCAAATCTCCAAAACACATTTTCAGCTCTGCACCCAATTTGCAATTCAACACATTTTCACTTGTTTGCCATTTTCAAAACACTGCCATTAAAAATGCTACACACATGAACCAATGAACAAATACACATGCCAAATGACCATAAACACCAAACTGCTTTATTGTTGACTCAGAAATCAGGATGTAAGCACTAGAAAAAGGCGTCATGTAAGACATTTATAAAAAACAACAATGGATTATGGACAGCAGCAAGAGGAGGAGGTAGAGGGAGGATAATAGAGAGGGAGGATAAGAGAGAGAGGGAGGATGAACTGAAGTCAGATGAAGAGTTATTTTCAGCATAACGGTTGAAGTTTGACCGTCAGGCTACAGGTGATGCTTCTTCTGCAGGTGGATGAGGATCTGTGGTCAGATGCAGTGAGGTGGTAAAATGCATAAGTATTTTTCTCTCCTCTGTTTTTCCTAAAAATATGTTTTGTATTTATTTTTCCTCAAAGTTTTCCTTTCGCTGTATTTGACAAAGGCATCAATTGTGTTTACACAACTGTAACAATGTGTTGTGCAAGAAAATTGCACCAATTTGTTTTGGAGAAAAACAACTATTTGTGTTTCTGCACATATTTTTGTAGACTTGAACAATATTTTTATGCAGAATTCTCTACATACAGATCACCATAAAAGAGAAGTGTGCTTTAGATAAAGCACCACAGTGTGTAGTCGGTTGGACAAAGTGTCTTGCACTCAGTGGCGTTTTTATATGTACAAAAGTGGTGGAGCACAAAAAACTTAGATGTCTATATATAAGCTTCTGCAGTGACGTGCAGTGAGGTTCATGGCTGGTGAGGCACTGGCACTGACTCTTCAGGTTTACAAATATTATATTTTGACCTAAACCAAAATATAATATTGTTTTCAAAAGCTTTTTTTGTCTGATGCTTCGATTAATTTTAAACAGACAGTTCGACAAAAGGATACCCAAAAAATGTAATTTTATCATTTAAATATTTAATTGTTCTCTCTTAGTAAGATCCCATTTTCAATCAAATTGCGGTCTTACCTTGACTTGAAGATGAAGTCCATTTGCCTATCCTTCTGGACAAAAATCTCCATTACTTTTTTGTAAAAGTCCTCCTTATCTTTTTGTAGTTTCAAAAGTCTATCATAAATCTAATCGATAGATTTATAATTCAAAAATTATAAAAGTAGGGTAGACATGTGCAGTGGCGACTGGTCATTAGGGGCAGGTGGGGCACAGCCCCACCTAGTGTCAGCAGAAAGTATTACAAATAATGATTACAAAAATGCAAAAAAATAAATAAAAAAATATATAAAATATATTTTAAGATCATGTTTAATCATCTGATTCGTCTGTACATTGCTGTTTTAGTCTGTGTTCTTCTAATTAGTGTGTCTACAGTCACAGTGTGTGCCTATTGAGCTGTTTAGAGCCATGTGGGACAAAACCTGATTATGCCCCTTCCTCTCGCTGTGAAGTCAACGGTGACTGTAAAAACTTCACTGCACATGCTCAGAG